CACAATGAGCAGCAGCTCGGAGTACCTCCCTGGACCCGACTCACGGGGGGCTCAGGGTCCCACCTCCATCTCCCTTTCCACCTCTATCTCCCTGTCTACTCGGAGCGGTGCTGACCATAAGCACCATCAACCTCCCCACTAGGGACAGGAGCTGTGTCTGCCTCAGCCACCACTGCATCCCAGGGCACTGAGCTGATGCCTGGGCAGGGATCTCAGGAACGTGGGTTATGGGAGGAGGGAGGAGGCAGGCCAGGGGCTCTCACATAGGTCTTGCAAGCACAAACATTTTACTTCTGACATTTTTTTATGCTGTTTTGATGGACTGTCATTTTGAGATAGGGCCTAAATGTTCCTATGTTTAGGCAGCAACCCCTCCAGCTGGCTCCCAGCCTAGCAGGCTGGCCTTGGCCCTGAGCACGCAGCCCCTGCCCTGCATCTGCTGCTGACCAACTGCGTGACCCAACCCTGTCAGGTGACACCTGGCAGGAGTGTGGCAGCACAGTCCTGGAAAGATACCACGTTCTCATCACCTTCAGCCTCTTTCTGGTGCCAGGTGACAAAGCCTTGGTCATGCCTACTTTCACAAAGGAAAGCTGCTTGGGTACTGTGGTTGATGGCCTACGGGCCCACCTGCCACCGTACTAGTCAACAGCCCAGAAAATGTGGGCTGGGCACGGTGGCTCATACCTGTAATCCCAGCACTTTGGGAGGCCAAGATGGACAGATCGCTTGAGGCCAGGGGTTTGAGACCAGCCTGGGCAACATGGTGAAACTCTATCTATACTAAAAATACAAAAATTAGCTGGGTACAGTGGCTCATCCCTGTATTTCCAGCACTTTGGGAAGCCAAGGCGGACAGATCACGTGAGGCCAGGAGTTTGAGACCAGTCTAAGCAACATGGTGAAACCCAGTCTCTACTAAAAGTACAAAAATTAGCCAGGTGTGGTGGCACATGCCTGCAGTCCCAGCTACTCCAGACAGCTAGCTGAGACACGAGAATCGCTTGAACCCAGGAGGTGAAAGTTGCAGTGAGCACAGATCATGCCACTGCACTCCAGCCTGGGCAACACAGTGAGACTCTGTCTCAAAAAAAAAAAAAAAAAAAGAGAGAGAGAGAGAGAGAAAGGAAATGTGTATGCTGCTTCATGCCCTCCTTCTGGTTCTAAGTACTCCCTAAACCACAGATTCACACAAGGCTCTATTCCAGGGAAATGCAAAAACAAAGCAGCAGTCCCACACATGGAGAGCCACACGGCATGAGATATACTACAAGATCTAGGAGGACCTTCAGCAAAGAAAGCTGCTTAACCCAGTGGTGCACATAGCTTTTGTTCAGAAATATGTTTTAGTAGGTGCATATTTAGAGAAGCTCATGTAACTCTCAAGATATTCCGTACACGTTGAGTGAATTCAACTGCTTAGTTTTATGGATATGAGAACTAAGTCCCCAGACATTCTGTCTCTTAGCATATTTGGAGTTTTGCAACCCTCACGGCTTAGAACACTTTCACCACCCCAGAAAGCAACACCATACTCAACGGCAGTCACTTCCCACCATTCCAGGGAGAGAAAAATTTACACAACCATTTATAGTGGCATCAAAGAATATAACATACTTTAGATTCACAGCAGCCACAATAAAAAATTTGACGGGACTTTCTAGCAGAAATTGATGAGTTGTTTATATTTTTCATTTTATCTACTTGGAAACGCAATAGATCCAGAATAGCTACAACAATTGTGAAGAACGACAAGTTTGGAGGAATTATTTAATCGGATTTCAAGCCTTACCCCTTAACTATAGTTAAAATGACCAAGAGTTCCTGGCCTAAAGGCAACACAGAAGAGATTCCAGAAATAGATCCACACACATATACAGGCTGAGTACCCCAATCTGAAAACCCCAAATCCAAAATGCTCCAAAATCTGAAACTTTATGAGCACCAACACAATGCTCAAAGGAAATGCTCATTGGAACATTTTGGGTGTCAGGTTTTTATATCTGCAATGCTCAACTGATAAGCATAATGGAAATGTTCCAAAATCCAAATAAATGAATATATGAAAACTCGAAACACTTCTAGTCCTAATCATTTTGAATAAGGGATATTCAATCCGTACAATCAAATGATTTTCCCCAAAAGTCAAAAGGTAAATCAGGAGGGGAAAGAAAAGTATTTAACAGACCCTTACCTCACACCATACATAAAAATTAATTCAAGATGGATCACAGACTAAATATGCAAGTGAAAACTATAATTCTAAAATATAAAGAGAAGAATATCTTTATGATCCCTAGGTAGGCAAAAATTTCCTAGAGAGAATACACTGTGTAACAGCTATTTTAAAAAAATCTATAAATTGGACTCCAACAAAACTAAAAAGTTCTGCTCATTAAAAGAAAGACACCATTAGGAAAGTGAGATGACAAGCTTTGGACTAGAAGAAAATATCCCCAGTACAGCTAGTGCTCGACTTACGACCACAATTGGGACCGGCAGACCGGTCGTAACACAATTTGGTTGTAAGTTGAGTAGGCTATATGTACAGTTGAAATGGTGCACGCGGAGATGGTAGTGCTGCCAGAAGCTGGTCCGCACTGTCGTACGCCCAGCTGGGCAACGTTTGCGTTGCCAGACACGGAGCAGTCGTGGCTAGCGATTGTGGTCGTAAAGTCGAATGGTTGTAAGTTGCATAGGTCATAAGTCGATCAATACCTGTATAAACATACATGATGGTGGTTTTTAGGTGCCAACATGTCTAGATTAAAGAATAATCCAGAGAACTGGTAACGTGTGGCTCCTGGGTGTGTCTGTGTGGCTGCTTCCAGCAGGGACTGTGTGTCAGCCAGGGACCAGGTAGGGATCTGCCCGCAGTGTGAGCAGTGCCATCAAAACCGCTGGGGGCCCAGATAGAAAAAAAAAAAAAGAGAGAGAAAGAGTGATTTCCTCTCTCCCTGCTGGGGCTGGGACATTGTCTTCCTCCTGCCTTGGACATCAGAACTCCAGGCCCCCTGGTCTTTGGGATCCAGGAGTTAACAGCAGCCCCGTGAGTTCCGGGTCTTTGGCTTCCCTGGTTATAAGGCTTTCAGACTTGGCCTGAGCCTCACTACTGACACTCCAGGGTCTCCAGCCTGTAGATGGCCTGCTGTGGGACATCTTGGCCTCTACAATAAAAAGAGCCAATTCCCCTAATAAATCCCCTCTCATATCTGTAGATACATGTACAGTCATGCATGGCTTAACGCTGGGGATATGGCCTGAGAAATTCACTTAGGCGACTTCACTGCAGTGTGAACATCATAGACCATATTTATATACACACAGGAGGTACAGTCTATCACACACCTGGGCCGCAAACGTGTACAGCATGTAACTGTTGAACACCGCAGACAACTGTAACATCATGGTAAGCATGTGTGCATCTAAATACTCCTAAGCCGGGTCCAATGACTCACACCTGGAATTCCAGCACTTTGAGGGTCTGAGGCAGGCAGACCATTTGAGGTCAGGAGTTCGAGACTAGCCTGATCAATATGGTAAAATCCTGTCTCTACTAAAAATACAAAAAATTAGCCAGGTATGGTGGCAGGTGTTTGTAATCCCAGCTACTCAGGAGGCTGAGGCAGAAGAATTGCTTGAACCCAGGAGGCAGAGGCTGCAGTGAGCCGAGATCATGCCGTTGCACTCCAGCCTGGGTGACAGAGCAAGACTGCATCTCCAAATAAAAAATAAAAAAATCTAAACTAAGAAAGGGTAATGCATTGCTCTACAACATCCATGTCGGCTATGACAGCACTGGTGATGGGAATTTTCCAGCTCCCTTATCATCTTTTGGGACCACTGTGGTGTATGTGTTCTGTCACTGGTCAAATGTTGTCACATGGTACAAGACCGTCCCTCTATCCTATTGGTTCTGTCACGCCGGAGGACCCTGACAAATGCAACTTGCATCTAGAATATAATAAAAACTCTCACAAATCAATAACAAGACAAGAAACTCAGTAAAACAGGCAAAAGACTCCAACACTTTGCTAGAAATAATATATCAGTTAATCGATGAAAGTAACATATATACACGTGAAAAGATGCTCAGCTCATCAGTAACCAGAGAAATGAAAATTAAAACCATGAAAGAAAAAAAAAAAAAAAAGAAAAGAAAAGAAAATTAAAACCACGATGAGAAGCCACTGTCCACCCACCAAAACACAAAAATAAAAACGCCTGACCACACCGAGCGCTGGTGGGGGTGGGCAGCCTCGGGAACACCCAGCAGAGCTGATGGAAGGAAAACGGGATGGGCACATGGGAACAGCATTTATGTGGCGGGTTCACATGCAGCTAAACGTACACCTGCCCTTCGACCCAGCAATTCTACTCCCAGGTATTTACCTAAGGGAGATGAAAACACCTCCACAAAAAGAACTTCAACAAGAATGTCCATAGCAGCCTTGTTCATAACGGCCACAGCCTGGACTGCCCATGTGTTTACAGGAAGATGAAAAACAGGTGATGAAGTCGGCAATAACAGTAAGCTGTGAGGACACACAATGGCGCAGGTGGGCGTCGCCAATTCTGCTGAGTAGAAGCAGTCTGGATTCAGGCTCTGTCACTACATGGACCCGGAAACTAATCTGTGACACGCACAAGAACGCAGTGACTTTGGGGTCTGGGGACGACTAGAAGAGGGTGTGAGGCAACTTTCTAGGGTGACCAGTGTACACATTTGTCACAATTCTTTGAGTTGTACATTCATGACGTTAAGTATTTCACTATCCTGAAATTGTATCTCAATACAAAAACTTTTTCTCTTTTTTTGCTTTGTTTGCAGTCCGTAGGTTTGACTCTGAAAACCTGTTTTTGGGAAAACCAAATACAGCTGAAACATTCTGGAAAAAAGTCAGATGGCGCTGACTGAGAATTTAAGAGTTATCAGTTTAAACGCTGTGTCTGTCCTCGCAGACCACTTACGCAGGTCACCGAAGGGTGAAATGTGATACCTGTTAACTCTCCTCGGGCACTTCTCTGGCTTGATATCCAATTCATAATGATAGATGTCAATTTTGGGGATGTCCATTTCGAAGAAATTGGCCTGTAATTTGATTGTTCTCCCGGAGGTCCCAAAGTCGGGTCTAGGTGGAGGCTTGAAGGCATATCCTTGGATGGGGGGTGGCGGCGGCGCAGGAGGCGCAAGTGCTGGAATGGCAGAGAGAACAGCCGTTATGGGGAGCGCGGTTGCTCGAGGCCCTCCCACCCCTCGGCCCCAGCCACCACACGCCCCCGCTGCTGTTTCCATTCATGTCCAGGCCAATATGGCATTCCACAGAGGCGGTGTCTCAACCTTAAGCCAATAATTGACTTAAAATGTATCATAACAACTCAAACTTGCTACATCCATTTCTGTTCTTTCTGCCTGTCAGACACTGGGCAGAACCACGTAGCCTGAATTAGCAGCAAGGGAGACAAGGCAGAGAGCCCAAAAGTGTCAAGGTGGTGCCCCTCCCTCGCTGCTGTTTATTCGTTAACTCGGGAAATGCTTTTCATGACACATAAGCAGTAGAAAATTCATCCCAACTCAAGTTCTCAGTGGCTCCATGCTAGTAAAGTTCAAAACACGTGTTTAGAAAAATAAGTATTTTCCAATAATAGAATACTTCCAATTTTCACTCAAATGTCTGCTAAAAAACAAAAAACAAAAAACCTTCTCCTTTTAAAACAAATCCCCTGTACTTCAATCCCTATTGACATTCACCAGAAAGAGAAAGTAGTCTACCACAAATAATCGGAGCTGTCCTTACTGTATTTCGGACCTACAAACACCCAGAGACTCCTTGAATTACTTGCTTTTTATTTTGTTTCCTATGAGAAAACTAACATGCTTTAAAGGTTATTAAGTTCGCTGAGTTACACCATTTGGAAATGATCACGGCAGCTTGGTCTTCCACCAAGCTGTCCTGACTTCATGGATGACACATCTACAGGCGTCCACAACACTCCATCCCGTCAGTGGCACACAGCACGTGCCCCAGTGTGCTGGGCGCCATGCCCTAGGCCAAGGCTACAAAAATGAACCCAGTCAGGCCAGGCACGGTGGCTCACACCTGTAATCCCAGCACTTTGGAAGGCCAAGGCAGGTAGATCACCTGAGGTCAGGAGTTCAAGACTAGCCTGGCCAACATGGTGAAACCCCATCTCTACTAAAAATACAAAAATTAGCCAGGCGTGGTGGCGTGCACCTGTAGTCTCAGCTATTCAGGAGGCTGAGGCAGGAGAATCACTTGAACCTGGGAGGCAGAGGTTGCAGTGAGCCGAGATTGTGCCACTGCACTCTAGCCTGGGTGACAGCAAGAGACTCCATCTCAAAAAAAAAAAAAAAAGCAAGTCCTTAAGCAGTTCCCATGACATGCAGACAGTTTCCACTTGTCAGTGATCCACAGGATGGCGTCTGATGGCTTTCCATAAGCTTAGCAGGTCACTGAGATCCTTCTCAGCACGGACCCTGACGGCGACCAGGAGTGGACACTGCAGTCCAGGTAGGTCAGCGGAGCCGGCCACTCCCTTGAGGGCCGACTGAGCCTCTCCGTACACCAACACTGGAGCAGAACAAAGTGCTCGCCAACATGTGGCCCTGTTCTCAGGTGGCTCCAACCACCCAGTGAGACAGCTCCCAGAAAATTCCAGGACAGAGCCAGGAATCTAGCCCCATGGCCAATCTCAATTCCAGGGTAGGGCGTGTTCCCCTGAGGGAGGAGAGTCACTGTCCTTTGGTGACTCCCAGTTTACAAGGTGCTCATGCAATTACTTAACCGAGCCTCACAATCACAGCACAAAGGGGCACACTGCTGGCTGCGAGGTTTGGGGCTGGAACACAAGTAACTCACAGGTGAAGCAGAGCTGCGAGTCCGGCTCCGAACCAGGCTCCTCCACCCGGGCCCCAAGCAGAGTCCCGGCACAGATGCCGCCTGGGCCCAGGTCTCAGGCTGACCCTCTCTCCCCTAGGGAGACCCCCCGCCCCGAGACCTCCTCCTCTGCAACACCTGCCATGGGAGACGGGAAACCTGCACACAGCCACTGGTACTAACCTCTGTGAATAAAGGCAATGAGAAAATGCAGGGGTAATTCATATAATCTGCAATTTCCCAAGAGAGTCCTTTCTTGCTTCTAGCTTTTAATTATGAAAATACTGATACTTCACGAGAAGGCACATGGAATATGAAATTACAAGTTAAAGATGTAAAAGTTTTCCAGGCAGAGAGGCCGGGAGGGCCCACCTTCCCGAACCTTCAGGAAGACACCTCCACTGCCGAGGACACCTCTGCAGACCTGAGCCCTCGGGGTGCCTGAAATCGGCTCTGAGCACCCACAGGGAGTCCCACATGTAAGCTGTAGACACAGGCTGGGAAGATCAAAGCCGAAGCGTGTGGGAGGAGGCGGAGCAGAAGTGTGCGGACGTGCACAGGGAGGAGGCGACGACATGAAGGGCACTGGCTGCCCGCCCCCCTGGCCCCGGCTGTGAGCCCCTGGCCCTGGAAGGTGAATAATGCACCAAGATGGGGACCAAATGTACAAGAGGCCACAAGACATGGATGGGCCACACACGCACTCATCCCATTTGACACGGATGGTTCTAAAGGGAATTCTAATTCCACCCAATGACACATTCTCCAAGTGCTCTCTGTTGAAGAAATGGAAGCCTGTGAGGAGGAGGCATCCAGGATGCCTTCGCCGAGAACATGCCACCACACTGGCATTCACAGAACGGGTCCTGGTTCCCGCTGCCTGTCCAGTCCAACAGCTGAGTCCGAAATCCCTGCTCTGCATCCAAGACCCAAACTCACCTCCCCACGACCACCAGGTCCGCTGGCGGCACCCTCCTCCATCTCCTCCAGCCTCCAAGAATGCTCCAAGGAGCCATCGAGGTTCCACCTCTCCGTGGACGCTCTCCCCAGACGCCCCATGGGCACCTCCTCCTGAGGCCACAGGCGGCACGCCCTGCCACATGTCCCACCCAGCAACTAACGAGTCTTATTTTAAATGGGTTTCCAGTTGTTTCCATAAGTGTTAGTCTTGTCTCTGTACTGAAGGTTGAAACCCTTGGGAACAGAAAGGCAAATCCTCTTTCATTCAGGAATCCCAGGATCCTAGCGCAGGGCACCTCAGCCACACTGCAGGCTCGATTTCAACACAATAAAATAGATCATGCCAATGCTTAGGTGTCCCAGTGCATATAAAAGTTCCATTTGCACTATACTGCAGTCTAGTAAGTGCAACAGCATTGTGTGTAAATAATGGAACAGAGGGAGGCAGAGAGGGAGAGAGGGGGGCAGAGGGGCAGAGGGGCAGAGAGGGAGAGAGGGAGAGAGGGAGGGACAGAAGGAGGGAGGGAGGGAGGGAGGGAAGGAAGGAAGGAAGGAAGGAAGGAAGGAAGGAAGGATGGACGGACGGACGGACGGACATACTATCTGTGCAAGGCAATAAAGCAAGGTGTGCCTGTGGTTGGAAGGGACCTCAGCTGCTGCTGGGAGGGGCAATGGCTCCCCGGGACCCAGGGCTGGCAGGCCTGCTGCACTTAAGGCCATACCCATTCCTTGGAAAGTGAGTTCCGAGGGCAGGGCCTGGAACCCAGCGTAGCGTCACACACAGCCGTGCTGTGTTTGCTGAATCGAGATCACTCAGCGTGTTTATTTAAGATTCCAGTTTTAGAGCCGCATCTCACACAGCGAAAGGGAAACGTAGTGAATGAGTAATCGGCTTCCTGTGTGAGCAACTGGGTCACGGGGAACACAAAGTTTCAGTATGCACAGCGGACGTCAGCAGAGGTGGGCAGCAAGCCAGCAGGCGGCCCCCCGAGAAACCCCTTTCAGAGCTGGCTCCTCCCCGACTTTCCAGGGAGTGATTTGGGGCAGACTCCTGCCACCTGCCCCGAGGGCCATCTAAGTAAGGGACAGGGGCTGGGGAAAGTTGCTGCATGAGGAGGAAAGTGAGGGCCTGCCGGGATCCCCCGCAGACACGTACCCTGGAGTGGGGAGAGCAGCAGCATCAATTCAGAGTCATTAAATAAATGAACGGCCCAGCTCTTCCATGAAGTCGATTTGGCTACCGGTGAGTGAACCACAGGCCCAGGCTGGCATCCACAGGCTGCACAGCTGTGGCCTGAGCTTGGGTGGCAGCCTCGCTGTGAGGCTGGCACAGGGGTCCATGGCTGTCTCCTAGGAACCGGCCCAGGGCTCAGCACCAATGTCTCGGGATGCAAACGGTTAAAGTTCTGTCACCCAAATGTCACGCAAAGCTGTTTCCGAAGCCATGCTTCTCCATGGTCCTCCTAGAACTCTGCATTCCTGACACTGGGCATCAGCCAGCAAGCGTGCAGGCTAAAGAACACGAGAAAGATAGCTCAGGGCTGCTAAGCACTTCTGTGCCACACCCTGCGCAAAGCCGGGTGCAGACCTGGACTCTGTGATGCCAGAACAGGGGTGCCCTGGCCAGGCAGTGGCCGAGCAGCCACTGAGATCTGTGCCATTAGCACGAGCCATGGAACGGGACAGGTGACGGCCCAGTGAGCACAGCCCGGAGAGGAGAGGCTATCAAGCTGTATTCTCCTGCTAAAATCAGGACACGGGGGTGACAGCTCACCTGCCGTCTACACAGGCAAGCCTCCCTTGTGGCCACCCAAGCTGACACTAAACACAGTCACAGCAGTGTTTTTGGTAAAATGGACGGAGGCAGTCTCAAATGCGTACTGAGAATGCAGACGGAACATCTGCTCCTGTCAGCCGGAGTGCAGACAACTGTGCGCTGTCTACCGCGCCAGCCAGGGCCACCAACAAGCCCACGGTGAGCCAGAGTCAAAGCCTCACCCAGCCGGCATTCACAGAGACGCGTCCGGCCCAGGCACCACGGCTGCGCAGGGACAGCTGCAGCTGGGTCCCCAGCTGATGCGTTCCACCGCCCCCAATCTGACTCACAAACTGGGGCAAACTGACCTCAGCAGGGGCGCTGGAGCCCCCCCCAAGTCTGTGAGGACACACCAAAAGTCAAATGTGACGAGACCGGGGGCGGGGGGGAGATGGAGTTCTCATGCTTTGGGGGTCCCAGGTCCCTGGCGCAGAACCCGCCGAAACACAGACGCAGAGGAAATGGAGGCACAGGCAGGGGTCCCAGGTCCCTAGCCCCAGAACCCGCCTGAACACAAATGCTGAAGAAACAGAGGCACAGACGGGGGTCCCAGGCCCCTGGTCACAGAACCCGCGTGAACATGGATGCGGAGGAGGCGGAGGCACAGACGTGCCCCATGTGGAAGGGAGTCAGCAGATCCCACCCGGCCGGCGGCCGGTCACCCCCCCTCCACAGGGGAGGCTGCTTCTGCCACCAGCCAGAGCTCTGCAGCAGGAGAGAAGGGTGCACCCTCCAGCCCTGAGCAGGAGCTGCTGCATCAGTGCTTCTCAGAACCAGGGGCATCGGCCCAGGAGCCAGCTGATGCCATCCAGGGGTCTCAATGTGGCAGTGGGCAGCTGGTGCACCCGGCTCAGAGAATACGTCCCGGGGAACGCTGACCATCGGCAGGAGCCCTGGGAGCTTTTCGCCCCAGGGACGGACCCTGCCATAGCCCTAGGACCTCATGGGTCCCAGCTTAGGAAACAACGCCTGCCCCTCCTCCTGTGGGCATAGGGACACAGGATGTAGCCATCCAATGCTGCGCTCTGCTTGCATCCACTCCCTGAGAAGGAGGTTTTGCCTCCACTCGGGCCCACGGGAATGAAGGAGGGAAGGAAATTCTGGGTGCAGCCCCGGGTGGGAGCAGCCCCGGGTGGGAGCAGCCCCGGGTGGGTGCAGTCTCAGGTAGGGGCAGCCCCGGGTGGTGGCAGTCTCAGGTGGGGGCAGTCCCCGGTGGGTGCAGTCTCAGGTAGGAGCAGCCCCGGGTGGTGGCAGTCTCAGGTGGGGGCAGCCCCGGGTGGGAGCAGCCTCGGGTGGAGGCAGCCCTGGGTGGGGGCAGCCCCGGGTGGGAGCAGCCTCGGGTGGAGGCAACCCTGGGTGGGAGCAGCCCCTGGTGGGTGTAGTCTTGGGTGGGGGCAGCTCCGGGTGGGGGCAGCCCAGGGTGGGGGCAGCCAGGCTGTCCTGGGTGACACATTTGCACTTCTGTTGAATACTTCTGTGTTCTGGGGGTGAGGTTCCTGGAAGGCTCTCCTTTCTGTTCTCCCTGAGTAGAAAGTCTTGGAGCATTTCCAACCTGTCTCAGCCTGGTTCTTGGCAGCATGAGAAGAAGGGGCCATGGGAGGCAACATGAGCAGGAGCAGTCAGCCCAAAGGCAGGGGCTGTGGAGGTGCTGGGCGAGGACAGCAGGGAGAACTTCCCTGGAGAGACTGGAACGCTGCCGCTGAGGCCGACACAGGCAGCCCACGTCCCCAGATCAGACTGACAAGTCACCCCTAAACCACTCACTCCCTTCTTTGGTTTAATGAGTAATAGCCCGAAAATATTTTAACCTTATTTTAGTGAGCAATACAGTGTGCACAGGAAGAGGAGGACAAACCCGTACAGTCTAGGACTGATTACAAAACAAACATCCGACTAAACTGCCGATGACTCACGACCAACACGGAATTTCCTCCACAGGGTTTTTTTTAAATAAATGCTTGTGGCTCAACCTGAAACTGCAACCACCATTATCTCTTTGAGAAATGGTCCTCAAAGCCTCCCCTGTGACCTTTACGAAGCAAACCTTCCCCCTTAAATTTTGAATAAATTTTTCCTTACAAGTCAAAAACATCCCCTTTGATCCACCATCTGTCTTTATTCAACAGTATTAGAAATACTGTAATAAGGCCGGGCACGGTGGCTCATGCCTGTAATCCCCGCACTTTGGGAGGCCAAGGCGGATGGATCACCTGAAGTCAGGAGTTCATGACCAGCCTGACCAACATGGTGAAACCCAGTCTCTACTAAAACACAAAAATTAGCCGGGTGTGGCGGTGGCACAAGCCTGTAGTCACAGCTACTTGAGAGGCTGAGGCACGAGAATCACTTTAACCGGGGAGGCGGAGATTGCAGCAAGCTGAGATCGCGCCACTGTGCTCCTGCCTGGGCAACAAGAGCAAAACTCTATCTCAGAAAAAAGGAAAAAGATAAACGAAATACTGTAATAAATACAAGCAGGAATTAAAGGAATACTGGTAAAACGTAAGTTACCTCCTACAGAAACGTTCCTCAGTCGAGGCAGCTGATGAGAGACCACAGCATCTCCACCACTGGCCCCACCAGGACAGACCCCCACTGCACACTGGGGAAGCACTGCTGGAAGCCCGACACGCT